GGTTTTTGGTGGTTGGTGGGGGGGTGGGGGGGGGGGGGGGGGGGGGGGGGGGCAGTGGTGTTGTATGTGTGTTGTGGGGGTCTTTTTTGGTTTTGTTTTTTTGTAAAAGGGGGAGTACCAGGAAATCAGCATGTTAGATTTTTTTTTTTTTTTCGTTACCCAAACCCAAAACTCAAATCTGATGGTTGTGGTTTTTAAGAAAAATAATGTTTTCTAGTCAGTAGTTGTGAGCTTAATAAGTAATTGCTATGATGAATGGGAATGTTTAGCAGCAAAAATTATTATTATGAGCAGCCAAAATACAAAAAGGAAAATAGAAGAAAATGGAAGCAGTAGTAGTTGCCTAGAAGAGACTATTGTTTTCTCCCATGCTTGCTTTATTAGATATTCTCTATTGCCAGGCACCAAGCTGCTGTGTGGATTGTTGAAATTTGGTGGCTTTCAAGATATTTCCAAACGTAGATTAGATTTGTAGTAATACTTGACAGCTCTTTGTGGAAACACTGATAGTTGAGGAATCTTGTCCAGGCTTGAGAAAAAGAATTAAGATCTTGCTGACAGTATGATGCAATTGGAAAGATGGGCTAAGTACATAATAATACTTTTTAATAAAGTACCTCCATGCCCAGTGAAAGCAAGGCTGTGGTTGCTTGGTGAAGATGCTGCATAACATTTTAAAAAACTGTCCCTAGAGCGTTCCATTACCAGCAAAGCTGGAATCTGACCACACTGTTGGTAGTTGCTTGAGTTACATTTATCATTCATGTAAGCTATGGCAGTACTTTTGTTAAAGCTGTTGAAATAAGCTTTTTGGGAATTGAAGTGTTTGGGAGGAAACTTGTATGATAAGATTACTTGTTACATACAAGAAATGGATGCAGGAAACAACTATGTGGACTGGAAACGAAATTTCTTTTGAACATTAGACCTGGGACAGAGGAATTTACCTTATTCTTCTTTAAGAGCCAGCTGTAGCTTTTGTTTAGTTATCTGTATCTTTTCCTGATATGACTTTAATATCTTCCAAATAGAATGGAATAATATTATAAAATCTGTTTAAAATCCTAGGATGCACAAGAATTTTTGCGTTGTCTAATGGATTTACTTCATGAAGAACTTAAAGAACCAGTTGTAGAACTGGAAGATGCCCAGCCTATGAGCATTGAAGAGAGTATGGAAGAAGACAAGAGCCAGTCGGATGTAGCCTTTCAGCCCTGTGAATCCTGTGGTACCTGTGATAAAACAGAAAATGATGCTATTTTCAAACCTGTCTTAGAGGATCCTGCAGAGACAACCATGTTAATTCAGGATGACGATATCAACCCAGTTGCCACCAAAGACTGGCAGAAAGAAAAAATTGCAAGCAACAAGCTTAAACGCTCAAATTCTATGGAGGACTTGGAAAAAGACACAAACACTGCTTCAGTGACCACTGAATTTTTAAATAATCAAGGAACTGTCAAAGTACAGATACACAGCAGATTCTCAGGTAATACATTACTAATGTGCAATTGAAGTAGTCAAATTCTTAGCCAGAATATCTGTGTGAGTGGAAATGAGTTGTAGAATATAGTAGAGAGGTATAGGTCAAATAGGGTAAGTAGATTTACTTGTAAACAATGCACCTTCTTAATTTATTTTTTTCAGTCCAGGTGTTCTGAATTCAATTCGAATTCCATTGAAAAGCTCAAGATTTGTACTGGGTAAGGTTTCAGATAACCTAGAAGAGTGGGGTTTTTTGGGGTTTTTTCTTAACTTAGAAGGTATTTGAATTGAAATGGTGCTTCATTCCTTAATGTCCAGTGACCTGACAATGTGGTTAAATAAATTGTATGACCATTGTGTCTGTTCATTCTGCAGTAAATTTTTTTGTAGAATTTAGGAAATAATGCAAATATTAATTGCAGAGTACATCAATGATGTCCACATGAATGATATATCTGCAGCCCAAACCCCATCATCAAATGAAGGGATGAACACACGCTTATCAAACAGTCCTCCAAAGTCATTCTCATCATGCTCTCCACTGGCACAAGTCCACAAAAAAGGTATAGACCCTTTATTTTCTCCCTCCTGGTACTGAATTGCTGTGTATTACAGTTTTCATTTTGTTGTTTCTTGTGTCTTTCATAGCAATGCAGTGGTGTTCTTAAGGGTTTTTTATCGCCTGTCCCTAGTGGGGTGACAGAGCATTATGTAAGCTGGACATACAATAAGACTCCCTTTACTTCTGTAAAGTTCTGATTCTTTTGGAGCATGGATAGTATTTGCCTCTGCTTTGGCAGGATGGAATAATATTTTTAGACAACTTTCTCAATTGTACTGTTTTGGAGAGAGGGGAAACGTGAGAAGTTAGTACCCTCAGAAAGGTAATGCTTTTCAGAGAACAAGCACATTGGTTCTTCAGCAGAAGTTCGGTAAGTCAACATTTTGGTCTGTTAAGGTTTAACAAACCATGTGTACCTATACTGTAGATAGACTTGTAAATGCCAGCTGCTTTCTGATTGTTACTGTCTCTGCGGTGTAGAGTATTTCTCTTGGCACTTTCCACAGTATGATGTGTTTATCAGCGTTCAGAATGTTTAGACTTTTATTGCCTTTAGATACAAGACAGTGCAGCTTTAGGGCACAAGGAACAATATAGAATTTTTCTTTTCCCATTACTTTGGGAAATAGTAGACTATTTTGATAAAAGCTTGTCTTTTGGAACATGCTTTTAAGGCTAGCGTTAAACCAAACCAAACCAAAAATTCCCACAACTTTAATATGTGATCCTCTTTCATTCAAGAGGTTACCTAGGATAAGTTCTGAAGATGTTCATGTTATTCTTTCAATGCTTTAGCATTGATGTTGAATGACAGCAATTTAATGGACTTAAATCATTGACCCCCCTTGGTTCATTCACTCAACAGTTTTGACACTACATCTGTACTGCTGTCTCCAGTTTTGGCTTCACCATTACACAAGCATTTTAGACAAACTGAAGTGACTCTACCAGAGGTACTAGGTGGCTGGAGGCTGTTATGTACAAGGAGAGGCTGAGAGCACTGGGTTTGTTCAACCTGGAGAAGGAAAGGCTAAAGGGGAACTGTTGCTGTCATCAGCAGCATATATGTGGTTATAGAGGAGGCAGAACCAGACTTTTCTTGAAGCCATGCAGCAAATAAAAATGGAAACAAGTTGCGAAAGGAAAATTTCTCTTAGATGAAAGGGAAAAAAATCTTTCCAATGAGTGGTTGAATACTGGAATAGAGGTGAGAATCCAGAGGTACTCCAAGGTTCTTGGACATGGATATTCCAAAGTTCAACTAGAGCTGCTTTGGACAGAGACTGTATCAGATGATGTCCAAAGGTCTCTCCCAATCTAGACTACTGATTTTTGTCACTTCCTCATAATTTAACTCTTGGTTGTCTTTATTGAGTATTGAGGGAACAGATATATATGCAGTAGAACTGACTAGGGGAGAAGTGTTGCAGCCATTTGCAAGCTCACAAGTTGTTGTGGTTTCTTTTTTGTTTTGTTTTTGTTTGTTTGTTTTTAATTCCCCATAATGCTAGGGGAATTCCCTAGTGTGCTAGGCCTTGTGTCTGGGGGCTAATAGTTAATTACAACACACCTATTCCCTTCTTCTCTTCCATCTCCCCCTTGCTAAAAGCACATGGTGTCTATTTGGTGCCACAATTCTAAGATGTCCCTGCTTGTCAGCATCTTCCATTTCTTCCTGCTGTTTGTTAGTGTGGGTAAATACAGCATATCTTCCATATCACTAATAAATAAAGACTTTAGAACATTCTTAAAGCAGTTTAGTGACAAAGTAAGTGATTGAAAGGAACCATAGAGAATTCTGGGCAAAAGGCTGTATGAGGCAGTTTGCATCCATGATAAAATATCTGATGCATTGTGAAAAAGAGAGGTTTTCATATTACTTCTAGCAGCCTTTCCTTCTTATGGAGATACTTTTGAATTCAGGTTGTTTAATTATTTTTGACATCTTTCTAGGTATGGGATGATACAGAGACAATATATAATACTGCTGGACAGTAAAGAGGCAAGAGTACTTGCTTATGGGCAAACTCTTTCTGTACAGAGGAGCCTACCATTTTAGCCTACCATTCCAGTAATCAGTAGAGCCCAAGACACTACTCTGGTGTGTTTACCTAATTAGTAGTGGATTTGGATGGGGAAAACATGTTATTGGCTTGGAGGGTTTTTTGTTTGGTTTTTTGTTTTGTTTTTTAATAAGCTGCTGTTAGCCTGGACTCTAGTAGTACATGTAGTCTACTTCAACCCACTGTCACCAGTGTTGTGATACAATAAGCTTGTGTATGAGCGCTTCAGCCCAACATGGTCAAAACGTCCTGCAAAGATATGATCAAATTGAATATCAGAAAGAAAGTGCCTTTTTAAGTTTGTACTTTGGGGGATTCCTGCCAAGATGAATATCATAGCAGTATGCTGTAGATTTCAAGACTGACAGTTTGAGTTTTACTTAAACAGAGGCAAAATTTTCTGGTGTTTGTCCCCCATAAGCTGCTTGAGAACCTTATATGATTGCCTAGTACTAGCAGTAATCTGGTTGTGTAATTTCTAAGAAATATTTAGGAAAAAGAAATCAGAGCTTGGCTCATAATTTAATCTAAAATATATGTGATCTCTAATTATATTATGCAAAGTTGAAGGAAATCAGAATCCACTGTATCTTGATTTACTTTCAGCACTTTATTTTTGTCATTTTAGTTTCAACTGTATCATCACCAAAGAGGAAGAAGCGCAAGAAGTACAAGAGTGTTATCTCTGATATATTTGATGGGACTATAATAAGCTCAGTACAGTGCTTGACTTGTGATCGGGTGAGTGAGAGGAAGTTCTAGCTTCTAATATGGTTTTTTCCCCCCAGTACAAATACTTAGGGCTTTATGAATACAGTCATTGTCTGGTAACTTTATTCTTTTGTGGCAGATTTCCTCAGAAGGCTAGGTTGTTTCATATTTGCTCACTCAAATAGTAATAACAGCTACTACCAGCACTTTGTTTAGACTAGCATGCATTCATTGAGCTGGATTTTTACTCAGAGCTGAAAAATAACATATTGATAATTGGTTTACAGCAAGGATGGAGAAAGAGGCTTACTCTTCAACTTCACTTACATATCATTACTTTTCAGTAACATTCTGAATATCCCAATGCATACCTGCTACTGTTGTAAGTTCTCAGATACATAATGTTACAAGAAAAGTAAAAGACAGTAATCTAATCATACTGCTGTAACAGTCTTATCAGTAGACTGAGGCTCAGAAAATTCATGTCTTTCAAAAAATCCAAGTAAAGACACTTACTTTTACAGGTGATATGAATCATTAACTGCTTTCTGAAGTTGTCCTCTACTGCAAGAGTTGGTGCAGCATAGGAGCAGTTGATTTTTTTTTTTCTGTGTATTTTCTCATAGAATTACTTAAAACAGCACACGTGATCATTTAAAAAATGTCAATTATCTAAATATGTCTAGTGGACCACTTTAGTTTCAAACCAGTAGTATGAAATATTGGATATCCAAATCTTTGTATTGGGGACAAGGTTCTCAACATAAGGTTTAAACCTAACCCTGATGCAGTTGCATGCCCTCATTGCTTCCCTTGTTTTAGATCTAAGAATACTGAGACCTCAGGGTAATCTGGAGAGCAAGTTCAAAAAACAAATAAGAATTTTTAAAGTTTGCTTGATGTTTGACTATGTGATAATTAAATCCAGCATGGCAGCAAGAAAGTGCACAGCTGGATCTCTTCTGCAGTGGATCCAGTTACATCAGGTCAAGCTTATGTCAAAGTAAAATCCTGTCAAAACAGTGGGCTGAAGCTTTCTGAAACTAGCTTGTATAACAGGACCCTGAGGCAAAAATCATAGTGCTTTGTGTGACTAGTAGGAAGACAAATAATTAATAACGACTTTAAAAAGTTTCAGTGATAATAATGTGCAAGTTCACTCTAAAAATGTTATTTTTTTCTTCCTCTTTTTTAGGAAATAAATTTTTACATCTTCTTATTTACAATTAATTTGCTACCTAGTGGAGTTTTCAACTATACAGTAACTTAGTAGTTACTGGTAAACTTTACAGAATTCAATTTAATTGCTGTTTCTCTTCAAGCTTAACTCTATTTTGTTTCTGTTTTTTTTTCTTCTCTTTAGCTGTCTATAACCCTGGAAACCTTTCAAGATCTGTCCTTGCCTATTCCAGGTAAGGAAGATCTTGCTAAACTCCATTCTGCAAGTCATCAGACATCTCTAGTCAAGGCAGGGTCATGTGGAGAAGCATATGCCCCCCAGGGATGGATAGCTTTTTTTATGGAATATTTCAAAAGGTAAATAATATTTACTTTGTTTTATTTATTTATCTATTTTGAAATTCTAGTTTCTGCTCTTCTGGCAGAACATTTGTTGGTTTTCTTTCTTTTCTGTCAATGATGTTTCAGGTTTGTTGTCTCATGTGTTCCTAGCTGGTTTTGGGGTCCAGTTGTAACCTTACAAGATTGTCTTGCTGCCTTTTTCGCCAGAGATGAACTCAAGGGTAAGAGGTTAATTACATGAACATGTTTCTTCTATTTTTTTTTTCCTTCTGTCACAATAAGATGATTAATATCTTCTTAGCTTCACACAATTAAGCAAAGGCCACCTGTTAGACTGTAATAGTCTCATTCCTTGCTCTTATGGGATCGTTCATTTCAAAAAGGTAAGCTTCTCATGCAACTGAATATTTGAGACAAGAAATGCCCGTGAAAGCTGCTTTATAAATGTCAAGTAAATCTGAATTTGGTTCAATGAAATGGTATCAACTGAAGGCTCATAAAAATTTCAGAAAACATTTTATTAATACTTATTCTCATAACCTTAATTTGGATTTAGTAAATTATTTCCTTTTAAAATTATATAGCATTGTCTCCTCAGATTATGCTGTACTGCTTCATAGTTGAAAGCATAAAACCTAAAAACCTTTCAGTTTAGTGGCTATGTCAACGCTCTTACGACTGGTAAATATTGAATGCAACCTAAAGATAAATTCCCTTGAAACTGTTATCTATCAAATATATGTACTTGAAGTATAACTATTTGAATTTAGAGAATAATAGCTGTTTTTCTTCTCCCTGATATTTGCAGGTGATAATATGTACAGCTGTGGAAGGTGTAAAAAGTAAGCTGGCTTTTACCTTTATTTGTTTTAACTTAATTTGAGTGCTTTAATGCTTCTGTTAGTCAAGAGGCATTTATTTCTGTTGGCTATGTTGCAGTACTATTAATCTTTTGAATTCTACCTTGTGTTCTGACTGTCAGAAATTTAGTATTACGAAGGTACAGGAGTCAGGAAGCCTTGGCTCACTGTACCATGTTGCAAACCAAATGCGCTTAATTCTTTTTCATGTTCCTTACAATTTTAGACCTTTCTAAATCGTTTTTGATTGATAAAATAAAAGCTTTTAGCCCTCTATATTACTAGCAGGTTTTCATTCATACACAGTAGGTCACTTCAGTGTGTTAAAAATAAATAAATATATTACAGCTTTAAATACTAAAGAACCAAGAAACAAAGTGGTCTGAAGACTGCTTGAAGCCCTTTATGGAAAAGGAGTGTTATTCCTTGCTCTATAACTGGTGATCTGCTATCGTTAATTTCTTAAAAATAAACTTAGTTGGTTTCTTTTTTCTCTTTTGCTGAATAATCAGCTTTCATGAAGCTTGAAGTTCTTTCATTTATGCTAAGAGAAACTGTTAGCTTGATGGAACTTGACTATCTGTACTTGCTGCTTTGAATTTTTCAGCAGTACAGATTGTCTTTTCTTCTGAAGCGTCATTGTTTGTATCATTTTGGCTACTCTGTGTCTAGTGTACATTCCAGAAATTTTTTGGGTTTACTAATGTAACGTTCAGCTTAGACTTTTGGTGATATAGTACAATAAACCAAAACTTTTTCATAACTAAGTAGTGGTGGTTTGGTTTTGTTTTATTTTTCTTTGCTTAGGTTAAGAAATGGAGTGAAATTCTGCAAAGTGCAAAAATTTCCTGAGGTACTGTTACCACATGCACTTTAAAGCACTTTTTCTGCATGATTAGGAATGTGGTAAGGCTAATGAGTTGCATGGAGTAACTTGTGTTTATAAAGTTATATGATCAAAGCGTATCTTCATATTGGCATTTGTTTTAAGAACGTGAGAACATTAGATTATTCACCATGTAAGAAAGTGAACCTTGTACATGAAAAGTTAAGTTAGAAGGATGGAGGGGGGTTTATGTTGTTACTGTCAGCCTGCAGAACTTGCTTATACTGTAAATCATAGAATTAAATACCACAGCCAAACTGGAAATCTTTTCTATAAGTAATGCTTATAACTTTATGTTAAAACGTAATCCAGTCTTACACTTCAAAATGTGAGTTTATGGCTGCAGTAATCGGGAAGAATTAATGTCCCTTGTGGCAAGATTGTGCAATAGGTGCATTGAGGAAGAGAAAAGGTATGCTGTTCATTGCTGCATCAGTGTTAGTAACCATTCAGGACTGTGTTTTTTTATAGTGTCAGTAAGTCTTTGATAATTACAAATTCATTTCTAACTCCTTGAGCTGCAATTGATTTAAAAAAACAAAACCCAAAAAACCCACAAACAAAAAAAACACGAACCAAAACAAAAAAAACCTCACAACCCACAAACAAAAACAAGACAGTGGAAAACAGAGCTTGTGATAGTTGCCTCAGGCCAGAGACAAAATTGATTCTTTGGGGATGTTGAAAGGAAAAGATGGCATACACAGTGTAGTTATTAAATATCAAATAGTAGTAGCATGTATAGTTCCTGAGTGAATCTGTCGATTCTTCTTACAGATACTGTGCATTCATCTCAAAAGATTTAGACATGAACTTATGTTTTCCACAAAAATTGGGACCCATGTGTCCTTTCCCTTGGAAGGCCTTGATCTTCAGCCTTTCCTTGCGAAGGACAGTCCAGCTCAAATCATGACTTATGATCTCCTATCTGTCATCTGCCATCATGGAACTGCCAGCAGTAAGTATGAGGTTGATTGTTTTGTCTTTGCAGTTGGTATTCACATCAGCACTTCTGTTTAAGGATGATATCCCATGTACTGAAGGGTAAATAGGTAAGCATTGGTAATTATAATGTGAAAGATAAATACTGTGATTTTTACATTGAACCATAAGGTGGCTTGCTCTTAAAGAGTTGGCACATCTTTGAAATTGTATGGCATACCTAAATAAAATTGTAGATGGAAAAAAATTAACAGATCCTGGAATATTAAGTAAAAAACCTATATGCAGTATTGAAAATGAACAGTATAAATGTACAATGTTATATGCCAGTGGATAACCAGTTGATGGGCTGTTCTACACAGCTGCTGTTTGTCTAGAGTTTTGATGCTTTGTATGCCTTACTTTTTTGGAAAGAGTTCACAAAGCACCACAAAGATGCCAGTAATTTTTCTAAAAGATGTTCTATTGGATGATCGCCGCCACTTAACCCCAAAACAGGCAGTAACTGCTATTTATGGGTAGTGATGAGTAGCTGAATAAACATCCTATTGCTATAAGTCAAGCTTGTTTCTGTGTAGGTGCTTTCAGGATTTATAAGATTTGGAAGATAGGAGAATGAAAAGTTTGAAGCCAGAAACTTCATAGATTTTTTTTTACAGAAGTTACCCACCCCCTCATACTGCCCAAACTTGAGGTATCCATTGTTTAGATGAAATAGTTTCCATTTTTTCTGGATGCTTTTCATCTTCCATTTAGTGCTTGCTGAATGATGCTTCTTGTGATCAGTTTAGCAGATATTTGATTATTTAATTACTGGCAGTTGAATATGTATTTAATAATTTAAAATATATCATGAATAGTCTTCAAAACACAGTTAGGTATGGTCTTGATACCATGTAACCATTACACATCTATGCTAATTTCTATTATAAAGCATACAAAGACTTGAAAAGAGTTCATTGTGGAAACTGATTGGAGTAGATTGTTCAGACAGTCTTACTCTAATTTAAATATCATGGCTCAGGAATGCATTAGACAACAAACTGCTTGACAAGTTGAAGAATATGCTGAAGGCAGTGTCCAACTTTCCACTAGCTGATAGAAACTCAGAAAAAGAAAGCTGATCCTGAGTTTGAGAGAAGTTAATATCCAGGTCATGTGTGCTAATGACTTGATATTTATCCCATTTAAGACTTGGGTTTTTTTGGACTTACTTCCTTTTCATGTATTGCATAGAAAAATGGGCAACTCTGGACACTTTTTAACAACTCTTGCTTCTAACACTCTAGGTGGACATTATATAGCCTATTGTCGCAACAATTTAAATAATTTGTGGTATGAATTTGATGACCAGAGCGTCACAGAAGTATCAGAATCCACAGTGCAAAATGCAGAAGCCTATGTTCTGTTCTACAGGTAAGAAATGAAAAGTACAGTCATACTCATGTAAGTCAGGTATGTAAATAACTTTTTAAGCAGTTTGGCAACTTTCAGAAATTAGCTGCCCCACAAGAATTATAATGGAAGAATGTGACCAACCGGAAAAGCCTGCGCTGAAGAGAGATTTAATCCTCCAGTTATGTCCTTGACACTTGTTCTGTCTCTGCTAAAACATATATGGAACTTAAATCTGCATAAATAAAGCATAGTAAGATGACTAGAAAGAGAGCTTGAAGCAGCTGTTAGAACTGGCCACCAAGTACCTCGTTTTCAATTACTGGAAAGGAATTCTGCACAAAGGGAGGTTTTGCACACAGACTCTTATCTGTTAGAGCTCTAAAGGGAATTGTGGAAGATCTTTAACAGGTGGGATGTGGAACAAGAGAGGTTTTACTGTGTTGTAATTTAATTTTAGGAAATTTATAGGGTGGTCTGTGGGATATCTGGAAGACAAGGGACATATTGTGAGCAGCCCAAACACATTGAATATGGACTACCTGACTATCTGAACACATGTAGGATCACTTTATGTTAGCAATAAGCTGGAGGACATTTTGAGAATGTAACAAGATGTTGGAAGAATGCAGAGAGTTATACAAAGAAGCAAGCTTGTGGAACAAGCGATGGATACTTGTGGAACAGGAGATAGATAAAATTAAGAAATGGAGTCTTAGTAACAAGGTGAGACAAAGAGCTTGTGTGCTAGACAAAGAACCTGTGTCTAATTTACGTAGAAGCTATGCATAGCAGAAGCACCTATCCGCATCATTTCTAAGAAGCGTGATAGTCGCGTGGATGGTATTTGTAGCCAATTAGAGCTTGAGCAAAAGAGTGTACAGAAGTAGAAAACATAATATAAGATGCGCTTTGAGCATAATAAAGTTGGCTTTCTTCTGATCATATTGGTTGTGTGAAGAGTCCGTGAATTCCGTGTCAGTGGTCTTTTCGTGAAAGTTGAAATGAAAGGTGAGAAGTTGTATTATTATCACCTTCAGTCTAAGGAATTTTTGTCCTTGAAATAATAAAAGCAACTTAATTTTCAAATTCTAAATTTCTGGTACTAAGATCAAATTTACGCTAAAAGTTGACCACGAAATAGGTTGTGTCAGAGTTGCACAAGAGAAGAGATGTGTTCTGAGAATGTTTTGACTTTCATTAGGAGCACTTGTACTCGCCACTGTCTGAGCTAAGCCTGTGAGTGGCTCAGTAGGTCTTTTAAAAGGAATGTGGAAGTCATGCTGTGTTGCCAGGAAAGAACACTGTACCTGATTGTGGGCAAATGTATTAAAATAAGTAACAAAAGAATAGCATTCATAAAACTTGGTTTTAAAAAAGAATATACCCACAAAACACTACCACACACACAAAATAGATGTTCTTCCAGTGCATTTTAGAAAGCTTAGTGGAGATATGTATACACTTGTAAATTACAGCTGGAAAGTGAATTTACCTATTTGACTTTCATTTTCAGACTTTAAAGGTTTTTGTTAAGTAATTTTGATCTGGATTTAAACAGGTAATGTATTTTAATTGAGTTCATAGCATTTGGTTTTTCATACTCTTAGTCTTGTTTTGCTGTACTATAAATAGCCTTGTTGCTATAGCCGTTGGGTCTACGTGAAGCTTTTCTATCAGCTATTTGAGTCAACTTTGACTCCGTAAATTAACTGAGGTGGCCCAGCTTTTGTGTGATGCTGAGTCAAGTTTCAGGTGAGAGTTTTGGAGGATGGAATGAATGGTTCAAATCTGCTTTTGGAGAAGAGAGATTCTATTCAATCTAAAAACAAGAGAGCAGAGATACTTTCAGTTGGACAGCAGCAACAACCTCAATGAGAAAAGTAGGGGGATACAGGAAAAGTAGGGGAATTACCCGGCCTACTTACTGTTCAACCTTACTTCTGAAGGTAAGTAAGGAACATCTGCCCAAGGAATACACCTTGCAAAGCTTTGGCTCAAAAGCTGCATAGAGGAAATGGGCAGGTGGGTAGAGCTGTACCTCCTTCTCCTGTGACAGGAATCACCTCTAAATTATAGTCTGCTGTCTCTGTTGCAGTCCAACTGTTTGTTTTCTTGGGCTGTGAGGTTGAATGGGAACTGGCAGGGGTCTTTGAGTTGTTGAACTAAGCAGGCAAAAGTTTTCTTGTAAGCGCGGTAACACCTGTGCCATGGCCTGTCAGAACTAAGGACAAGCATAGGTTTAACAGAGCAAGTAGTCTTTGCTGCCCTTCCTGCTCTGTACTGACTCTTGTGACACATGGTTCTGTAATGTGACAGTCTAGGTTCTTGCCACACGTTTAGATGGTGGCTCTGGCTGTGCATAAAAGGTGCAAGTTTTTTAACATGCTAAGTCAACTACTTCATGCTAGTACCACTTTGAAGTATAGACACAGCCCAGGTAATCTACTTGCAAGTACAGTTTTCTTTTCACAAAGTAAATTACCTGCACTGTACACAAGGATATATGTTTATTTAATGATTTCTATTTCGATAATAGAAAGAGCAGTGAAGAAGCACAGAGAGAGAGGCGGAGAATATCACGTCTACTGAATATGATGGAACCAAGTCTTCTGCAGTTCTATGTTTCCAGGCAGTGGTTAAATAAATTCAAGACTTTTGCAGAGCCAGGACCAATTTCAAATAATGACTTTCTCTGTATGCATGGAGGTGAGTCTGTAACTGAGTATCATTTAAAAAGAATTTGTCTGTCGACTTGTAGCTATACAGGGATGTACACTGTTTTAGTTAAGGAATTTGAATATAGTAACTTCATATTATAACTTCTTAGGTAAATTAAGACTATAACTTCTAAGTAAATTATTTCTTTCATTTTAGTAGCTGACTAGTTGGAAGTGATACTGTGTGAAGTTCTCCTAATTTTTTTTTTTTCTTTGCACGTTTGATTTTGTTTATAAGCTCTCTTGATTCTTAAAGAGGAACAGTTTGGCTTATCTGCTTGCTTCCTAACCATGTATATTCCCATTTTTAAAAATCCTATTACTTTATCACCATCCTTAATACTTTGGTCTGCAAAGCTAAAATCTTTTTCTCAGCTATGTGCTAGGAGCAACAGGATTTGAAACCTGCAGACCAGTTTCTTGTTCTGATGCAGAGTATCCAGTGCATAGCATTGTGAAAATAGAGTAGTAATTCTGTATATTCGGTATAGCAGCATAAAAATTTTACTTTGTGCTAAATGTTAATAAAAATGAGAGGATTACATTAAGCAAAACATACTTGGGGAAATACCCATTTTTGAGTGCCAACATTGCAAGAAATCATTACTATGTGGTGTTCTTTTACCGATGTGCTAATAAAAACTATAGCTGTATTAGATTAGCAGTTAGAGGTGCTGCCTCTGTTGCTGAACCAAACTTTTAACATAGGAATATTGTGCCCCTGTAGCAATTTGCAGAGTGTGTACATGTGAGCCCCTGTGGCTATGGCTTTCCTTTTACAGGGTTACAGCAGATGACTTGTTGTAAGAGTGCCCAAACTACTAGGTTTTCTCTATTCGAAAGAATTCCTGCATATCACATTGCTGCTTACCATGTTCTTCAACTGAACGCTTCTAATTCTGCAAGCCCCTCTATTTCTGCCTCCCTCAAAATTTTGCTGCTTTGAGGCATTCATGTTGTTTGAAGTAATTCAAAAAGGTCTACAGCAAATAAATGAATTTTGAATAGACAGTGCTAATATGCTTACATGCATAAACAAAATATTTAACCACTCTTGAACATTTTAATTGTATACCCTAAGATGCATTTTGCAATCAGTATCTAAAAAGGATTCGAGCCCTTTAATCTTTCATGTAGATTGCTTCTGCTTTTATAATCTTTTCAGTCTCATAAAGGAGTAAAAGTAGAGTGGTCTCTTTAAATACAGTAATAGGTTATACTGTGGTAAACTTGTTTCATATGACTTCTCTGAATTAATTGAAAGGTGGTATTTTTTTATTTATTTAAAGACCTCTAACATAGTCCCGACCTCCAATAAAATCCACAAGTCTCTTTGTTGTTGTTGCTTCTACAGGTGTTCCTCCACACAAAGCTAACTTCATAGAGGACCTAGTTGTAATGCTACCTCAAAATATATGGGATAATCTGTATAGCAGGTAAGTTTTGTACTGTAACTGGAAAAAATCCAGTGATACAGTTTGAGAGCAAGTATGTGCCAAGCAGCAACACCAGACTTTAGAACTAGTGGCTCAGAAAAATATATATATATACTCTAGGCACAAAGCTAAATGAAGGGATTGCAAACAGCTGATTTATATAATTTGTTTGTGCAAAGTAATGCTAAAAGCCTACATAAAGTAGTGTGTTACTGAGACAATACTTGAGTATTAAACTAATAAACATGTATGGTATGTACAAAATGACACAAAGTAGGTCAGCAGAAGTACACTTTGCAAGAGGTATTTTGAAAGAGCTCTCTGTATCAGCTTCCTGTTCTCTTGTTGGCTGGAGACAGATTTTCTTTTATCTTGGCTTTGAATCCATAGCCTCAGCTGCCAGTACTGCTTCAAAATAACTTATATCTGCGTGTTCTGTATAACTACTCCACACTTTTTAATGTAGGTCAGGTTTAAGTGCTTGCTTATAAAGGAGGGATTCTTGCAAGATGTGTTTCCTTTTAAAGTAACAACAAGCTGCAGAAGAGCTTTGCTGATGACCTTAAGGACTCTGTATTGCACTTGCATTAAATATTTTTAGCTGATAATTTCCTGCCATCTAAGCACTATAGCTAAAGGGTCAGGGTTTGTTTTGTTGTTTTAAAGTTTCAATGGATACAAGTGACAAATAGAAGCAATACTATTTCCAGCTTATTTCCACTTTCCTAGATGTACTGAATTCTTCTTCCAGCCGACAAAGGCATTATCCGTTTTCTGTATGCAGAAATATTTGTTAAATCTGAAGGAAAATGTTTTTAACCTCATTAATTTCCCTTCTCTATAAACTTTTTTAACAAGATGTCAAACTTCAATCATTCCACAGAAAGGTACAAGTCCCAGAGATGATAGGGTCCTCCAGATTTTGAGAGTAATCTACTAGGTAGAAAAGAGGTATGAATTGTTACTGCTAACCATTTTTCTCTTCTGTCTGGCTTCCTGACTGCCACATGCATGCTTCAACACAGAGTAGCTCTGAAGCAACCATGTTTTGCTTTTTGTCTTGCTGTTATCTGGGAATTACAGGAGAGTGCCATGGCTGCAGTGGGTGAGAATTTAGGGTGAGGAAGCCAAATATGGTGGAAGCTGACTTTTATTGAGATAGTATTAAGGAAAAGGGGTATTTGTCTAGGATGCCAATTGCCAGTCCATGTCCCAAATGCATTTATTTTGCTGCTCACATGGCACTACTCCTGTTCAATTCCAAATACTTCAGGGTCAGACTTGCATCAAGATAATATAGTATAATCCAAATGTGACCTGTTTCAATTGAAAACTTGTGAATTGTGAATTTAAAGAGAAAGTGTCATCTTCAGAGGTCTAATTTAAGTGGTGGGTGACCATTTTATGAAACATACGTCTTTGTTAAGTTGGGAAGGTTGAATATATACCAAAAAACTTGTATGTACAAGTGCTGTTGTACTGAAATAATGCTTTAATTTTCAGTTAAAATACAATACTTCTGTATTTGGGGAAAAAAATCGCATCCCAGATTATTTTTATGGACTCACAAACATACAAGTCTGAAAAGGGGAAAAAAAAATGACAATGCCTTTTGTGGCAGATTTTTGTTTAATGTTATTTACTAAGTAAACATAGTTATTTTTTACTCTTGCTTAAGAACTTTCATATTTTGAACTTTAATTCATGTTGCTATATGTGAAAGCACTCTATGTCATTTAATGTACGATTTTCGGAATAAAATCTGACGTTTTAGAAGAGAAACATTGTGTATTTTAACCTGACCTTTCTGTTGTAGTAAATGACTAGCAGCCTGAAGAGATGCATTCAAGAATATTTTCTTTATCAAGCTTGTAGTTTCCAGGCTAGCAAATGCTGCCCATGTTCATAATGATACATACATATATATATATTTATTTATACACACACACATGTATCTCTATCTATCTATCTATCTATCTCATGTGCTTCTCAGTAAAAGTGCCCCTACAGACTTCAGTTTCACACAAGGAAAATGTGGAGAGGAGGGTCATGGAGAATAACTTTTTAAGAACAAAACAATAAACAAGTTTAGAAGCTGGCATCAAGGAGGTGGCAAATTGATGAAGAGCCTGCAGTGGAATGGAGGAACATGTTTAAGATAAAACTGGCTGGAACATTTCCATAAGCTGTTTCCTAGAGGCCTTTAATAAAATCACACATGGTGTCTATGTAACAGAATACTTGCTCACTGACATATTCTTCCCTTTCATAGTAACGCCTTTTGAAGTATGTGATACGGCAGAGTTTGAAAGGGTTTGTACTGGCCTATACGCAGTCAGAACTTGGAAGATGGTTATGTCTTAGGATGGAGTACAGAATATTACTAGGAAAATAAATGATGGCATTTATGGATCAGTGTGACTGGCATGTATCAGACTTGTTACATATTATAAGAAGTTGACACTTGCGATGTCTACAGGTGCATGATCTTTTTACATGGTTTTTTCCACAAGGTTAATCGTTTTTTACTTTTACTGCAGGTATGGAGGAGGACCAGCTGTTAACCATCTGTATGTTTGTCACACCTGCCAAATAGAGTCTGAAAGAATTGAAAAAAGAAGGAAAAATGAATTGGAAATGTTTATTCGGGTAAAAAAGTAAACATTTATTCATTATGCTTTTTGACATCACCTAATATTCATGACTTGACCCAAAGGGTTACCAGAAATGCATAGGTGATTCCTGTAGCAAATGGACTTTATTGAATATCTGCATACCTACACAGAATCCCTTCTTTCCTGTTGGCAATGGTAACGTCCTTGTGATATCCCAGATAGCTGTTTATATGAAAATGTACTTAGAGAAAATATTTAATGTGTTTGTTAAATTGGTTTTTTTATAGTATGGAAACGGAGTGCAGCCACGTGAGCAGTTGTTCTTTATATGCTGCCAGTGATCTGTTCTGTGCAATCTGATAAGGTTTAAGTGCAATAATACTGTGTCAGCAAAAAGTTAATCATAATTTTTATTTCTGGTTCTAATTTTAAAAATATCATTAGAGACGTGAACAAACATAAGTAATTCAGTATGAAGTAAATACCTTAGTATTGTAACGCATCTGTAAAATTAATATCAAGCAGCTACTACATTTTCCATGAGTTAAAGATTATGTGTATGAGTCTGGTAAAATAACTAGTAGTAATTATTTTGTAATTCTTAAACAAAAAATGTATTTTTAAGTTTTCAGTGAAAATAAATCCAGAGAAATTGGAGTCCCATTTCTGCTATCTTAATTTATAAGAGGGAAAAAATAGAATTGCAGCTGTTCTTTCAGTCCTATCTGTGCTTTAACCACACTTCAGTGATTGTGTCAGCTTTTCCACGTTTCAACTGCTATTTGAACTTCTTAGTAATTGATTTTTCTTTAGTCTGGACTACCACTGGATAGTAATTATTATTAACAACATTGAGTCAACTTCATTTGCTGTAGTGATCAGTATCTTTCCAGTATAAACAATGATTATATGCACACTGTTGTGCAAGTATTGTTATTGGTTAGCGGACAGAAAATTCTGTTATCTTCTATAAAGATTGCTTTAGGGAATGATTGCAAAACTTATTCTATCTGAAACCTTAAGAAGTTTTGTTGATGCTTTAGGTTCATGGCTTCAAGGGAGATGTATAGCTGTATTATTACAGAGCTAAAAGATAATGATTTTGAAGGTTTAAGTGACTTTTTGCATGTTTCTTAATAATTGTGAAAAGATCTGTAGTGTCTGAAAAAGCATAAAATGCTAAAGTTCCAAATATCTTAGTGTTAAAAAAATTTTTTTTGCTGAGACTTTTTACTTAGCTGTTTTTTGTAATTTATATAGTCACTTACATTGCCTTGCAACAGAAACTCAGAAAACCAGGATGTGATTTTTTTCTTCTTTTTTTTTTTTTTTTAATTAAAATAGTAGGAACAAAAAATAGTTCATGTTTTCAAAACTGAAGCAAAGAAAAGTATGACAAGTCCCAGTGCATTAGTTCACCGTGCCTTGCTTGGAATCATACTGGCATCTGTTCAAAGTATTAGGGGAAAAACAAACATAGGTGAAGATACAGTTCCTCAAACTAAGAACTTTCCATAAAATTATGGAGCAAATCTTTTATAACACTGTTTTACTTTATTTTGCAAAAATAAGTTTTCTGCTTTCTTTTGCTACTTGAAAGTTTGGCCTTCACAGTAATTACCCAGTAGCGTTTGATGGGTAAGCACCTGAGCTTAAGAAGAACTTGTTGCTGTTTCAGGAAAAAATAAATAAATTCTCAAGTAAAGAATATATCATCTTTTAATATGAAGGCTACCACTACATCAAAATCTTACCCTGGGAATTCACCAGGTGTTTACTGTTCTGATGGTTGGTAGTTCTTTAAACTGTCCTGTAGCAGTGTAATATTACATTGTTAATAATTACAGTGGTTAAAAGAATTCAGTAGTTTAAAGAAAAAAAAGGCAGAAAAACAGAGATTCTTTTTTCTTTCAGCTTAATAGAGCATTCCAAGAAGAAGAATCTCCATCAACATTCTACTGCATCAGTATGCAATGGTTCAGAGAATGGGAAGGATTTGTAAAGGGTAAAGACAGTGGTAAGTTGTGCTCCATTTCAAAATATGGGTAATCTTTTCTTTTTTGTTGTCATGTAGTGGTAGTTTAAGCAAATTGTTTCTGCTTTGGTAGAAGGCTGTAGGAAGAACAGATAGATATTTGTTTTAAGAGCTTTTGTTGCCTTCTCTAAGACACAAGTTTTATAGGTTACAAATATACTCAGGAAGGAAATTACAGAATATAGTCAAATAACTCACAAGAATGGATAATAGGATAGTTGTAGAAAGAATGTTGTTTGTTTGCAGGGGGTTTGCTGTTAGCAGGAGCAGGAAAATCAGATCTAAGTAGAAGGAGGGGATGGATTTTGCTTTGCAAACTGATACATAATGCTACAGCTTCTGGAGAAGAGGTGACCTCACAGTCACAACCTAGACTCATAGATAACTGAGTAACAACTATAATAATATCACTTTAACCTACTTTAGGTGCCTCTAAAGTTTTGAAATGGAAATGCTGATAAAATATTCTACAATCTTGTCTGGATCTGCTCTAGGACAACTTTGCTCAGGGTTAGAATTAGGATTAATTTGTGTTTTACATTGCTTGAAGACTTACTGTAATCATGAATGCTTTGAAAAACTTGCTGTTAATTAAAATTCTGATTAGCTTTTAACAACTTGGAACATACTGTTAAGCAGTAAAAGAACAAGCAGTAAACAAACAAGCTATTTCTCCTTCCATTTGGAAACAGAATGTCCAACCTGCTGTTTGTTTTCAGCTCTCCCAATTACAATCATCTTTCTGTCACACTAGATCCTCCTGGTCCTATTGATAACTCTAAGATTGCAGTAACAAAATGTGGAAATGCTGTGCTAAAACAAGGTAGGTGTCCAATATTGCTGCAGTTTTGGACTCATACATCATAAGATGTATTTGCTGAAGTTTGGAAAATTTATGGATTCTTTTTTTAACTGTTATTGTAAAAAGGCAGTTCCTAGTGAATCTGTATTCTGCCTATTTTGGGGGGATCAGCTTATTCTTAAAATAAAGAATTAGCATCTGTAATAGACGGATTGCAGATGAGAGTATAGAAGCAGGTACAGCGTAACTTTAAAATGGCAAAAAAATGTCCTTTGACTTTGTATCACTTGGCTTAATTTGAGTTTTCTTAATATAAATTGGGAGATGCTTGGCTTTTAGACTGTGTCATGTATGTGTATGTAATTATTTGAATCTTGAAACCTAATTTGAATTGAGCGCTACTTCTCACGGAGGGAAATAAACCACTGTAAGTAAATGCTGTTGCTCACTTTTCTGCAAGTTATTTGCCACTGTACATTGCAAAAACTTCTCTAGCATGCAAAGATACAGATTTCTTTGTTATTCTTTGCAGTCAGATGCTTAATACTATTTATTTGAAATTCATAGGTACAGAGAAAAAAAAAATCTAATATGGCCTGCTTTATGGAGACTTTAGACTTCCTATGAATATTTAAATTCATTGTAGCTCAGCTTCAAAAAAAAATTGCAGCATTAAGATTAACATTTATTTAACTATATTTTTTCTCAATTTAACTTAATGCCTCAGCATACAGTGGACCTACCAGTGGCAGTTTACTGGAAGCCACTAGGCCGTGCATGAACCTCACCAATTGTCAAATGTCAAGACTGTATTTAAAAAAGAATGAGTTCTTGCAGTCATGAGTTTTGCAGTACATTTTAATGATTTAAGCACTAATGTAGAATTCAAATACAAGGTATAAAGCATCTGACTCACGTGTAGCAAAAAAAAAAAACCAAAACTTTTAGAATCAATAATTAATACCAAATTAGCCAGTTGCTGACTTACCTTCAGCTACATTGATTTGAATTAGAACTTGGATAGAAATGAAGACAAATAAGCTGTGGAAAATTCATCTCAAGTAATGAGAGAAGAGGTGGGAGCGCTACTAAATAGTGTACAGTATTACATATTTCTGTGATCCAGTGGTCCTGATCCCAGTACATTAGTTCATGGCACCTGTTAAGTTAAACCTGACCATTGGAAGAGCTGGTATCTGGATAAGGGAGTGAAGATGTACTCCTGTGCCTACAGAGATGGAGTTGTTTTTTGAGAATCTGAACCTAAATGAGTAAAACTGAAGCATAACATCATTAGTACCGTCATAGCATCTGCATCATGACTTCCAGATGAAGCTTTGCATGGGTGAGTTAGTGTAGGTAAACAAACGTGCAGCTCTTTGTATCCTTCCTCTGTGGAGATTTTCTTTATACACAAAGTACAGTAGTAGGCCCACTGGAGCAGGTGATGAGGACAAAGTATAGGAGGCAGGGGGAGAAGTCCCCTTGTTAGGGTGCTGTGGGTTTTGTTTGTTTGTTTGTTTGTTTTTTAAGTAGGAGAGTGCTGAAATTAGGCTTAACAAGACAGATTAATAGCACCTAATAAGGATATTGGGGGAAACTTGCTGTGGGCCAGGCTTTTAATGAGTTGCTTAAAGAAGAGGAGGTTTATTCTGGTTATTTGTCTTGTCTGCCTAGGTTAGCATGAAGAAATTACTTCAACTGTATCAGACAGGATCCTTGTGTTAAAACCTAGAGGGGCGATGTGCTGATGCCCCCGTGCCCTTTGCCACTATAAAAGGTTACAGAAAATCTGAAATGGTTGTTTGATGCTGACTTGAGGCAGGAGAGGGACCTCTAACCAGAGGAATGGAATCATAAGCAAAGACACTAATAGTGAACAAAAAGAAATCAGGCTGACCCATCAGTGCTACATACAAGGAGCATTAGTGGGTCTGTTACTGTCCTAATAGTGGTTTCTCTCTGGTGTTCTGAGAATTTCACTGTGGTTCTCTCACTTTTATTCTTTACTATCAAGATTAATTTCTTTGAAACAAGAATCTTGAGTCCTTGAACTTGACTGTGTAATTGATGGGACTGCATGTCCTTATATTAATGTGAGTTGTCATTTCCTGTGTACAAAGAGCTACCGGTTGTCAGCTTGATTGATAAATATCAGATAAGATGTTTATCATAGAACCTTCATGTGTTTTATACTTGAGGTATGTTAAGTACTGGATAATCTAGAGCAGGTAGTTGTAAGACTCAAGAAGTAAAAAATTAACATAAAATATGTCATTGGGTTTGGCAGTTGGTGTAAGATAAAGCACAAATTCAGCTTAGGGTTTTAAAGTTGAATCTATATTCTTTCTTTTTGTATCTGTTATGGACGTCAAAGAAATCATGAAAAAATTATTCTAAATAGTAATTAAAATTTTAAAAATGTTTTCAGGTGCAGATTCTGGACAAATATCTGAAGAAACATGGAATTTTCTTCAGTCAATCTATGGTGGAGGTCCAGAGATTATACTCAGACCACCTGTTCCTCCAGTAGAACCTGATATCTTGCAAACAGAGGAGAAGATCGAATTAGAAACTCATGGTCTGTAGCTACTGAGAAAAAGATGAACTTGTAAGGAATGGAGCTTCCGTACAAAATGCCCAAAATACATTCCTAAAAGTTTTATTCTGTTATGTCTGTTGGAGGCACAGCTCACTGGGCATTACATTAACTATGGAATAGTAGGTTGAATTATGTATTACAATTTGTTTAATAGAGGCTGTTTCTCTGTTTTGGAAGGCATGCAGTTTGTACATTTTGGAGTGTTTGGTCAATGGAAAAAATATGTAATTTCTGAACTTTTTGGTATAAGTCAAAATCCTGTTATATCCTTAGACTTGAAAAATGGGGACAAAGTTTAGAGATGTACAATAACCCTTCTGATTCCTGATTGGGCTTCTGATATCTACAAACTTTTGCCTGTCTTAATTGTACAGTCTTGACAAGCCTAGGTATATGCGGAGTATATTTTAAATTGATTGCAATCAATTATAAAGAAAAAGGATTTTAATTTCCTAAATGCTCAGGAAAAAAATTCTCACTTATTTTGCACTGGAAGTATATGAAATTGGTAGTATGTAACATCCAAATACTTGTTGTATTTGAATGAATCAAACATTAGTGTAGATTGAATATTGTTTTAGTCAGCAAATGTCATTAAGTTATTACTTACTAAATTTTACATCTTATTGTAGTCTTCTCTAATTCTATAAACCTGGCTAGTGTCTTTAGTAGTATATGTGACAAAAAGATTTAGTCTTCTCTAGGGTAATGTTTGAGAGCATGAAGTGTGAAATGTAAAATGATTATGGACATGAGTGGTATAAATTTCAGAAATTAAATTGTCTGGTCTCTTGAATTACAGTCATAAACAGTTCCATTTGAAGGATTTTATTGTATTGTTAAAAATTTTCATTGGCATGATGACCTATGGTGTCAGAAGCTGGATAAAATGTATATATTGCAAAACTTTACTGAATGATCCATACTGGAATGCAGAATGGCACTTGCTCTTGTTTTTGCCTGACATTGTTACCAAATAAGCTGCATTATTCAAGGCTGGATCAATAAAAAAAAAATTAAACTGTCAAGGGGGGTGGGGAAGCTTGCTTAAACGTTTTTCATTTATTACATCAATACAAAATCTTTTGAAGTAATGCTGTGGTACTGCTCTCATGCCCTTATAATTTATATTTCTTGACCACTTTATGTTTAGGCAATAATGTTGACAGTTCTAGCTCCAAATTAAGAAAACAGTGACATAACATTCTTCTGGATAATTTTGTATCTAGTATAAAATCAAACTGGTTTTGAACTTTGTAAAGCATTTAAAGCCATTCTGGTTAACAAGCTACCTATAAGAGTCCTAGACAGTGTATCCTCTAACCTTAAGTATTTGCTAATGTGCCATGTAGGAGGAGTCAGTTCTGTCTGAATGTAAATCCCAGTATTTTCCTCAGCCTCCCCTCGAAGAACTAGAGCTAAAAGCACAGCAGCGCAAATAAGAGGGGTAAATGGACAGCAGTATGAAGCCAGTGATTATATAGCTGGTACATAATTTTATTCATATTAAATTCAATTTTAAACTGTATTGCAGGTAACTCTTGGCCAGCTTGTTAAACTTCTGAACTTTTATGTAAGTGTTCTTTAAATTCTAGAGGAGTTCACGGGACAGCAGCAGCTGAGAAGCCCTGCATTGTACATAGCTGTAAATGTAAAGAAACACTGAACAGACTTTTAACGTCTGACAATGCATTTGGACAATTTTATATTAGTAGATAAGGCAACTTGAAGTTAATACTGTTACCCCTGTATGTAAGGTAAATACATCAGTTACTACTACAGACTTGTCTTACTAAGGTGAAGTTAACTTGCTTATGAACAGTCAATAGTAACTTGCTGACCTTGGCCTGTGGAAGACTCTTCTAATTTCCCACCTCCATTTTTTGTCCCTTTTTTCATATTAGGGTGACTAAACTAAACCTGGATTTATACTGTCTTATTTTAACTTTTTTTTTTTCTGCGAAGGTTTTACCTCATTTAAGCTGTTCTTAAGGTTCTCTAATATACTAAAGCTACATAACAATGAATAAGAAGAATTTTTCCTCCATGGTGTTCTTAATTGGAAACTTGGGAAGTATTTTCTTGGTTAAAGCACTGTGTGATATCAGGTTTTCCAATTTAGACAATGTTTTCATTAATAATCTGGATGGTGGTACAGACTGCCCCTGTAAAACTTGCAAGAGAAAAATGGATTGAGTGTTAGGGACATGAGATTGTCAGTGGAATGAAGTATTCAGGATATTACAGCAGATCAGACTAAGAGTTAAAATCCAGTGATACCAAAACAAAACCTGTTCTGGTAATAGTAACAAAAGCATCAGATGGGAGGCACAGGAGGTAATTATTCTGCTCTACTTGGTGCCGTGCTTGTTGTGAGATCTCATCTGTACTGTTCCCAATTTTGGATGCTATAAGATGATAAATACAGGTTGAGGAGATGTTATTTCAGAGAAGAGCAATAAGACTCAGTGTTGAAAATGAAGTTCTCTCACTTAAAAGAATGCTGAAGGTGCAAGACTTCCAATGTGGAAATAATTGCTGGATAATAGTGAGTGATTTTTCCTAGATGAGTAGAGATATTTGCCTCAGCTTTAGCAATGGTGACTTGTGCTGGGTTTAGGTAACCTATTAGAAGTCTAGAAATCTTCTAGCAGTTTTGTCAGTCTTTTCCACTTGGTGTCTGGGAATCCATAATCAAACATAATATTAAACTGTGATGCACATAGATCAGTAACAAAGACACTTTAAACTAGCTGAGATCATGAAATGCCTCTGTTGCTGCAGTAAAAGGCATCTTTACACTACAACTGTTTGTCATGCTTTAAAAAACCCAAAGAAATCCCAAGTTTGCAGAGATGAAATAGATGTGTTTTGTGTTTAAGACAGTTCCAAAGAGATGACTGTCTTGCTTGTAGCCCTTTGAGAGCTCTACAAGGGATATTATGCCACAGAAATGGAAGTAGCCTTTTAAAGTAAGACTGTGGGAGAACTCCAGATGGATGGCTTGTGTATGCTGGAGGGAAGGCAACAATTCAGAGAATAGGTAAGGGAGAAGCCTTTACTGTGAAGAGCTGTCTGATTTGCAGGAAAGAAAGAATTCATCTCAGGAAAGGGCTGTGGAAATTATTTTTTTTCATAAGCCTTTCACCAGACTATTTGGATTCTTTGTTCATTTGTTTCCAGTTGAGGAAACACAGCAATGTGCTTGGGTGCCAGGGAAGCTGTCATTTCAAGAAGGGAAAAATCCAGTTGAGTCCTTGTTTTAGGCCTGGGAATCTAGATTTGAACTGTTAAAAGCCTGCTGTTCACTCTGGTAACTTTAATCCTCTGTTCTGGAGAAAACTGCATGGGGGGTGTGAGGGACTTACCAGCTCAAAGCTTGATTTCTCTAAATTTTTGAAGGTTTTTTGTAAGTAGCATAGCTGATTGTTCATCTGAACCCCCAACATCGAGGGGAGTGCTTCAGATACAGTGTGATGTAGCTGAACAGTATAATGGGAGGGAAGAAGATTAGCGGAAGAGCTATTGAATTACTCAGTAGTCAAATAAGGCACTCTTATAATACACTTCAGTGGTGAGAGCTAAGTAGTCAGTCTGCTTAATAAAGCCAATAAAAACGACCTGCTTGTTAGCTGTAGGATTATCCCATATTATACTTTTACTGACTTAAAGGCCAGTCTCTTCCTTTCCTGTGACTGGAACATTAGGAAATTAAGGAAGTTCTGAAGACAATTCTGTGATGCAAATTCATTTTTTAACTTGGGTAGTCCAGAAAGCTGTGTCTGGAAGTATAATCTAAATCAGTCCTGTGTCTAGGGATAGATTTATATAGAGATACATATAAATGCACATCTATTTTTCCAGTCTTAATTGAATTGTGGCTAGAGGAACTACAGTAATTATTTTTGGTTCTATGTTAGAATAGTGGTCTTGAGTAGATATATCTGATAAAGGTTGAGTTTTGTTTTCAAATAGATAAATTACACTCAATTGACTGCTGTAATGAGTGTCAGCCTTCCCATCAGTAACGGCCTTGGAAGTTTGCTAGGTAAGTTAGAGACTTCAGACGCTGTGCAAAAGCTGTGTCAAGATAAGATGAAAAAGAGGAAAAGCTATTTTTATTAATTCATATCAGACAAACTCGGAACCATTTTGATAATTCTGGGTATTTTATTTGAATACTGTTGACATTGTCAGCTCTTGAGCTGCCTGAATGCAGCAAAAACGTATTGACAGAGCTATGCTGATAGGAATGAACTCCTGACCAAGCTATTCAAGTAAAGATGTCAGAAGATTGGAGCTAACAAGTAGTAGTGTGTTAGTCCCTGCTCTAGAGGCTAAATGATAATGTACTCTTAGAAACCTGTCCTTCCAGCAGAGTGCAACACTCGGTGACATCTGAAACAATTTATATTTAGAGCCTTTTGTAACTTTGTATGGTGCCGTATTTTGGTAAAGAGAGCGCCAGAACAGGGCAATTTCATGTAAGTATCTGTTGAGTTAGTGGTATGTCCCACTGACAGTGCGGTATCAGCATTAAGTGTTTTGGCTATAACATACATTATGTGGATGAAACAGTTTTCATTTGTGGAGCAGAAGTTAAATATGCCCATCTGGGCCTCAGTTTTTCTTAGGAAACCTGGTGTAATTTGCTGTGCTGTGCTAATTCATTATGTTAGAATCCTGCTTCTCAGATTCACAATTTATTTAGTGATTGGCTTTTTCTAACACCAGATATCCTAGGTTTTCTGAAAAGAACTAAAGTCAAGAAGTTTCTTTAAGTTAGTATTATAGGCATTTATTTATAATGATACTGCTAACATTTGAATTTTTTTTTTGATTGATACATTATCCTGTTAGTCATCATATAAGTTCATTTGGAAAAGCAAACCTGAGATTTGGAAAATTTACAGGAAAATTTAACAGATTATCTGCTTAAAGGGGCAAGTGGTTTCTAGATATTTGCCATACAACTATTTTATACTGAACTAAGAAAATTCTGTTCCATTTAGTTCTTTTGAATTCCCTATATACATCTGGCTTAGTGCAGTCTAAGCAGTTTTCTCACTGAAAACCTTTCAGCTCTTCGTTTTGCCCAGGAAATAAGTAAAACAACTAGGCTTTTTCATTCTTCCAAACAGATGGCTTTTCTGGCTTCCCTCTATACTTAAGCCATCCAGAGCTGACAATTAGTAGCAGGAAGCAAAATAAGAGTTCTATATTTCTGAAGTGTCACAAAGATAGACAAATCATTTTCAGTGTTACTTCACAGAAACTACCTGGTTCCAAACAAACTTGGTTTATATTAGCCTTCAAAATCTTGGCAGATTAGAAAATAGCCTTGTTCAGTAAAAAAAATTATTCTCACTAACAGTGAAAACTATAACTTGTTTTCTTGAATATATTCTATAAGATAGATATATATGTTTAAAACTTGATTGATCTTAAGAATAGCTTCAGGCTAGCTTTCAGCCATTCAACAAGGTGACAAGGCTGTTTCTCTATAAAACTCAGTGTGAACACTGCCGCACAATAAGATAAAATGTCATCTGTTTATAATTCATTTAATATTACAGATGGTTGCTTACAATAGCAGAGTCGTGTTT